AGGCATTCATAGACCCCTTTTATATCAGCCAAAAGTTCAGTGCCCTAAACAGTACAGAAGAGGTCATACCTCCCACTGTCCCGCGCAACCAAGCAGGCGCCATAAGATCTGGACATTTGATCAAAATTGCAGACTGTAATTTTAGTCCTATTTTCCAAGCTGCTCACAGCCTGATTTCAGTAAGTCCACAAAACTCTGGGACCAGTGGCTTATCTGTCCGACGTTTCGAACTCTTACGCGAGCCCATTGTCAAGGAATGAAAACATGCATAGCTCGCTGCATATTTAAATCAGCTCTGGCGAGAGTAGCATTTGCCTCTTGTTCGCGCAACGCGAGATAGGCCGCATGAAGATCGATATGCCTATTAATTGAATGCACGCGTGATTGTCATGCTTCCTGCAGCAGGCCTGAAGTTAGGTCGTCCGACTGGTTTAGTATTCGCACGCATTCAAAGTCGAAGCCGTGCCCTGGCTTGGGGATGCATGAGCGGCAACCAAGGAAAGCTTGTCATTCCATCGCATGGTGAGTTCGTGCTGGTGCATTCTTGACTTCGACTTCTCGGCTACGACTTCGAACGCGTGCGAAAACTGGGCCTCTTTTTCTCAGAATGGCACGAGTGGTGAAAAAGATGGCAACGTGTCCATTCTTTATGCTTTAACTGGCTTCCCAGTTGCCATAAAAAATTGCTGCATAGACTAGGACGAGAGTACAGTTCTTACTCTGCTCCAGGAGTCAGGACTGTATACTTTGTGGTCGGAAAAGCGGCTATATATGTAGTACTGACTGAGCGTTTCAAATCAACCGAAGAAAGGAGGACAAGCAGGAGAAACCAACCTGGATTGTCCAACATACTGGAAGGGCGAGATGTGTCGGTTGGAACCGAAGAGGTCTGATTGGTTGATTTAGACGAGGATGCACCACCAGCAGCACCCAGTTTCGTCTCGTGGGCAGGATGCAGCAGACGGCTACCCCGGTGGACAAAATCGAAAATAGACGGTATAGCAGTGTCGTGCAGACCGCCCGCATTGTTCTCGGACGCAGAAACTATCCGTACTGGTGGAGGTTTGTTCCAGGCAGCTCTAGACACATCCAGAGAACTGGCCAGGTGGACAGCCTCCGCGGCCAGACTGGTACCAGACCGACCGGGACTCGGGGGAGGGCTGGGAACTGTGGCCACTGGCTCAACAAGTTGACAATTCTGGTCAGATGCTGGGGAGGCGTCAGAGGTACCAGCAGCAACGTCCTCTATGGCATATTTGGAGCGCTGAAAAAGAGGGGAAAATTGGAAAGTTCATTAGTACTGCTGGGAATGTGTCCGTTCTCACAATGAGTCGGTACACACAAAGGCGGTCGTCAGCTACCCCACGGTCTCCCAAATTCTGATTGGA